TACAATATTACTTATGATTACAGAATGCTAGGTGGATTTAATTTTTTTTTTTTTTTTGTTCAATTTTAATTTTTCTTTTTCTTTTTTTTTTTTTCAATTTACAATCAGATTACAGGTCATTGCTACCGAATACCACTTCAAGGATAAATTCAAGAACAAGATTGAGGTCACATGCTGATTAAACTGCAATACTTGTTGAATTAAAAAATATATAAAAATGCTTCCCAAATCAGGTGGTATAAAATTGTTTAACAATGAAACCTAAGGGATGTTACGTATTTTAATAATTAGCTGGACAACGAAAATTCTTAAGAGGAAGGTGAAAAGGAAAAAGAAGGTATGCTTAAATAAATTAACGAAATTAGATAAAAATTTATGCTGGACCATTAATACATAAACATCTGATTTCCATTCAACTTTGAGCGAAATTTGACCATCAGTTTTTTAAATAATTTTATTTAAGATTAAGATGAAAAGGAAAAAGAAGGTATGCTTAGATAAATTAATGAAATGAGATAAAAATTTATGCTGGACCATTAATACATAAACATCTAATTTCCATTCAACTTTGAGCGAAATCTGACCATCAGTTTTTTAAATAAAATTATTTAAAAAAATATGCGTTGGCGCAGGCTTAGGCGAACCACAACTCACACAATCCTTGAAAAGTTTATTAAAATCCAATCAACAAAAATAGGTGTTATGACCTTCATATGGAATTGAATACGGACATACAGGCATGCAATCAAATTTATTTCTTGATGTCTAAAAAAGAAAAACGCGAATAACAAATTTTGAATTTTGTTTGCAAATTATTTTTTTCACATGGATACATAAAATAATCATATCCAACTAATTTTGATTAAATACATCTATTTTTCAAAAAAAATATATATATATATATAAAAGTAGTTCATAAGCTCAGTCTTATATATATATGAACAATGAACTTGTTTTTTTCATTGCAGAGAATGAATATGTGAACACTCAAGCCTAAAAACGGTCGCCAAAACACAATATTTATTAAGATTGAAATATTTAGAAAATAAATATTATTTAATATTCAAGAAATTAGCAATAAAAATGTATGGGTGAGTGTTAAATTGTAAAAAACATTTAGCTTAAAAATAATATTGGAAGCATGTTGTTCCATTTATTTTAAGCATATTATATAACTAGAATCCTGACCATCCTAAATTGCCCCTAAAAGAAAAATCTGATAATTTGTAAGAAAACAAAAATAATACAAATTGAAACTAAATTTTAGACTCTAAGTTGGAGATGTGTCAAACTTAAATTCATCATGCATCCTTGAAACATATGAGAACATTTTAAACAATATTATAAAGGTTGAAGTGAACAGTACTCATTTATACTAAATTAATAAAACTCATACTTTATTATAATTAAATTAACTGCTTTATTAAATTAAATTAAAAATAAAAAAAACTGTGCTTAGGTCACAGAACTAATTTTCTGAATGAGTTCTATCCACAGAATATAAAAATTAAATAGGAATAAGGTAAATCTATATGTCCGTCTAAAGAATATCATTAAAATTTCTATAATAATATTATATTAGTATAATGAATTCATACATAAAAATATATCATTCCAATACTTGTACTATAACATTTTATAATTACAGCTCATAATACTTAATTAAGTATTATTTGAAAGCAATACTGACTTTGTATCAACATGAAAAAAATATATTTCAATTACATAATAAATATTTCAAAATAAATGAAGATGAAATAAGTAAAAAGTCCATATTATATCACTCTTTCATCATGGATGATTTAGAAACTAAATTTTTGTTATGTTCTTATGTTTATTGAAATTCAATATAATTAATAAATAATGAGGTGTATTATTTACAGAATATGATAGATTTACGCAATAAATAGAACATTAAAAAATATCAGAGAACATAAAAATCTTCCGATTTTTTTCTTTCTTACTTTTTTTTTTCTTGTAAAATAATAATAAATGTATCTTCATATTTATATAAAGATGATCATAAAACGCAGAAACAATTTCATTTTAATCAACAAACTTACTAAAATAATAGCATTTTTGAGAAAATCAAATTCTACTTACATTTTGGTGGGGTATGTGTGTATTAATACATGAATCGTTCACATGTGGAAGATGTCCTGAAACAGACACAAACGTCTCCCATTACAAAAACTGAATAAAACACAAACGAAACATAACAGAGGAACAGTAACATACTCGAATATGAGACATAAATGCATCACACATATGTTAAACATGAAAGGCAAGACTATATTCTTTTGAGCCTGAACCGAACGGAGAAAATGTGGCTTTGTACGGTGGTGGCACCTAGCGGATCGGCGGCGACACTAATGCACACTGCATATTTTGCATAACCTCCACCATGTTTTCTTATTGCATTTCAAACTGCATTTATAATTAATAAAAATAAATCGATAATTTTAAACAATAACTATCTTACAAAGATAATCTCCTGAATATAAATACATTCCTAGCTTGGAAAACTATAAGAAACGAGTTGGAACAAATGGGAAGGTTACAGTGATCAAATAAATTTTCTTTGAAATGCAATGGTATTTTAGACAATTTTATATTTTTAATCATAGACATCTTAAGGTATAGTTTTCTATACACTTCACAAAACATAACTTCACTAAATATTACAATATTTTGAAATACATTGTTTTAAAAGATGTAAGAAAATTGTCTGGCCCTGTATAAAACATCTTACCTTGACCCAGTATATATTTGACCAGAATACATTTTATTCTGATCAAATAATTTATGAGCACAATCAACATTCTTCTAGTGCCTATTTAAAAAAAGAAAAAGAAAACAATTGTTAACAATAAAAAACAAACAAAAATGTTTTTTGGAAACATATTAATGGTATCCTATCCAGTATTATTTCTATCATGATAAAGATAGATATTGTTCAACAACATTTTTTAGGTTATCTTAATGAATTTTCTAGAATTTAGTGAAATAGACAAGCTACAAGAATATCTTTCTACAAAAAATAAATAATATTTAGTCAGATATCAGAAAAAATAATAATTATTTTTTATTCACAACCAAATATTCAATAAAAGTTTAAAATTGTATTCTTAATTGGCAATAACCCTAATACAAATAATGAATAAATTTAATACATACAATAAAATAAGGAATGTATTCATTCACATAAATGAATAAAATAAATCAATTTCGTTATATAGTGTATTTGCAACAGATATGAAAATAATAACACATGACAACAAAGTTAATTAATGCTATATTTTTCTAATTAAGGAGCCATACAGTTTATTTTTAATTAATTGATTAGTAAGATCAAATCAGGAAACTATGTTTTTTAAAGTGTAAGTTATTCTGAACTGATACATGAGCCTTTCAGTTGACAGAATGACTGACTCCAAAATTTCAACATTTTTGAATAAAGCCATTTTAGTGATATTTCTATTTAGAAAGTTTATATCTGTACAGGCAGTGAGTAAGTTGATTCCAGAGTAGGTGATTGCAGTGTTGAAATATATAACTGTGTGAAGTTATACATTTTTCCACTATAAATATCACTAAAATTAATTAATGATTAAAATTAAATTAATGAACAAAATGTGGAAATTAGAGTCAGTCATTCTGTCAACTTAAAGGCTCATATAAAGTAGTAATTAACTAATAAAAATATAAATCGTTAGTTTATTGCGAAAATTCAGTAAATAATATTTCATAACCTCAAATCACTAAGAACTTAGATGAACTGTGGTAACTGTATTTCATATATAAAAGGGTTTCAGTGATTTTAGTGCACTTAGTGTGTCAATAAAATTGAAAAAACGTTCTTCAAAGTGAAGATAAACTATATGTATTAATAAATTGTTCATTGATTTTTTCTGTTATTAATAAAAATATATACAGATTGTCAACGATTCCACAACTTTATTTTAAAGGAAAAATATATAAGCAAGCAGTAGAAAATAGTTATGAGAATTGAAAAAAGTTAACAATTACTTATATATATTAAGGTTATTAAAGAACAGTCCAGTTTTAACATTCTGATCATTTCACAGCATAATAAACGTTTTTATAAAGTTTCAACAGCTTCACTCTAATGGCCAAATAATAATAAAATATCAATTATATTAAAAACAGATTATATTGAAACCTCAACTGAAAAGAAATTTTAATACTATAGCTTTCTATGGCTAATTTTATTTATATAAGTGATGATCTCATTTATTTATTGTAAACTGTGACTCATTTTTAATACAGGTTAACATTTAATTACGAAAACCATATATATTTAGCACCTATAAGTGCACAATGTTCTAATTTCACAGAGGCAAAATTCATTAGAGTGCATAGTGATTTAATTTTATGGAATGTCCTTGTTGACTTTTCGATACAGACTAACTGTTTATTTTTTTTTTACCTTACTTATCAATAGAAAATAATATCACAAATATCAATAAATAATAAAAATGGGATTATTTGTAAAATATATTTACAAAAAGCTCAAAATGCTCTGATTTCATAAAGAAAAAAAATCATAGAAAGTTCTTGATGATTTAAAGTTATGAAATACCATATAATGAGAGTATAATTTTATATACAGATATATGACTTATGTAAAAGAAAGCTAAGTAAGCAAGCAGTAGAAAATACTTATGGGTATCAACAACAAAACTAATATTTTAAATTATTAATTTTTAATTAATAGTCTAAGCATTTCAACTTAAAAGGAATTAGTTTTCAACATTTATATAAATTGCCATTGTTCTTTCAACAGCTTCACTCTCAAGGCCAAATAATAATAAAATTTAATGTATTATGTATTGAGGGAAAAATCGGATACTATTGCTTTGAAAGGTTAATGAATTATTTATTAGTGATGATTTTAGATATATATATATTTATTTAATGAAATTATATCAAGATGTATAAGTTATAATATATTATTGCATCCTTGGAACGCATCATACCATTTTGAAGCTCTTGGCTTGACCACGTGAAGGCAAACTGCGTCGTGGAGGCGGTACTTCACTGACCTACTGCACTCCATGCTGTGTTAGCCTCGGTACCATTGGACCTCCGTACCATGGTACCTGCAGGTTCTCCTGTACCCCATACCACAACCACGACCCTCAACCAATGACCTACCATGAGGTGGCGAACGTACAACACCCGGAGGAACGGACAGAGGAGTGCTCCTAAAAAACTGGGCAGACAGTGCCGGTCGGTGGGGGTAGAGCGGGAAATGCCGAACCGGCACGAAGACATCACTATTGATTCCAACCGCCCGGTGTCTAGACATCCTCGCCCGCTATATCTTCTATAACAGATAACTAGGATATCATCTCAATGCTCTACGAAATGGAACCCAATATGGTCCATATGTTAAATAAATAATGGTTTTGGTTCATATTTAAACATAATTGAGGTAGGTTGGAAATTAAACTGTTATAAAAAGGACGCTACTCATACAGATAGAAATAAGTATATCATTCCAAAACGAAGCATCAGGAATAATGTATAATGTACTAATAAACGCACATAGAAATGCAGTTTAACAGTAATCCATGGGCATATCAGTGGTAGTGTTGCCCAAAATCGGTCTTGGTCTTGCACTTTGCAATACCAAGATCAGCGCCGCCTAATTGTTGCAAGACAAAGACCAGGATTGGTAAAAAAAATCGATTTTTTGAATAAAAATTGAGACAAAATAGTTACTAATGCTTGACAATTTTAGTTACTATGTGTAAAGAATTGGTGTAACCAATATACTTTTACATTTAACTCTACTAATTTTTCATTCAGACTTAGTTAGGTTTCTCATATCTAAAAAATTACAGTAAATGTCCCTAGTAATAAGCTCATAGGTAACTGCAAGACTGTTACGAAAGTCTTGCGCAAGACCTAGACCAAGACTAAGTTTGCATAACCAAGACTCGTCTCGGTCTCGCATTTGGGCAACACTAACCAGTGGAAACACGCATTTATTGATTTTTTTTTTTAATTATTGAGGAACCCTCCGAGGCGTCTGAAAAGAAGATGGTCTCGTGATCTACGTATATAAATATATTATTAGAGTGCTACCAATGGGTAGTTTCTCAACAAGCGTTTTCATGTGATTGTTTTATTACAGTGAGCACATTTACTAGTTGTATTTTTTTTTTTTTTTTTATAATACAGTTGTAATTATCAATGAATAAAAAAAAAAATCTGGTGCGCGCAACACACAACTTCCACTTACCGATCTACTTTGAATAGAAATTATTTCCTGGCAATGCTGGGCTATCATAAAATTTTTTGAAGTGTAATTAAAGGGAGCTAAAGCTTAAAGCTTACAGATAACAGGTCATTAAGACCATTATAATTACAAAATGTCTATTTAATATATGGAAGACAGGCAATAAAAATCAATTCACTATATCTGATTTTATAAACCACAGAATGACTAACTCAAATTTCAACATTTTTGATTGATATTTTTAGTTGAAAAAGTTCTCTATGCAGACAATAAGTAAGTTGATTCCAGAAGTAGTTTTTGCAGTGTTGAAATATAGAACTGAGAATAAAAGTATAAATTTAGGTACTACTTTCTTATGAAAGATGTTCTTAGGAAAGGCACTCTATTAAATATCTGTAGAAAAAAGGTTTTTTTAGTCTCAACAATTAAAAAAATATATTTTAAATTTATCCAAATTTTCACCTCTTCAGGGAAAATAACTAGAGACCATATCTTTCCTCCTAATTGTCCGATTTTAACGATTTTTTTTTTTTTATGAAATTCCGTAAACTTTTAAATAAACATATACAATATCAACAAAAAAGCGTATACTTTTTGAGTTATTCGGAATTTAATTTTAACATCCCTCGTAACTTTTTTCCTAGCTTCTTTTCGTTGAAGTATGTTATATAGATAAATTTAAAGGGTATCGAGAAAATGATTTTAGCGAAGTTTCATTGAAATCGGTACATTCTGCGCTACAATCTGTAGGAACGCAGGTTTTTCTGCATTTTTATTTTTTTTCTCCTTTATTAATTTATAGAATTCTTTCAAAAGTTATATGTAGCATTTTTTCGTAACTCTGAATAATCCGAAATGGTTAACTTTTTAAAATAAACCATATTAAAGGTGCACATAGCAAGACCGAGGCTACCTGACTGTTGCAAGACCAAGACTAGGACTGGTAAAAAAAATCAATTTTGAAATAAAAATTAAGACAAAATAGTTACATATTTGACAATCTTAGTTACTATATGTTAATGATTGATATAATCAATATACTTTTGCATTTAACTCTTCCAATTTTTCATTCGGGCTTAGTTAGGTTTCTCTTATCTAAAAAATTACAGTAATATTTCTATAGTAATAAGCTAATAAGTAATTACAAGACTGGTGCGAGACTCTTGCGCAAGACCAAGACTGAGTTTGCAAGACCAAGATTCGTCTCGGTCTCACATTTGGGCAACACTAAAAATTATGGAGTATGTTGTTTGCGTGCTTTGGAGGCGGCTCACAGTGGTCCGAAAAGGCATAAAAACGGCAAAAACTCTAATAAATTTCCAATTTAGGCAAGATATCTGAAAAACAGAATTTATTATACCATGTATTCTGGATTAATCTAGCATAAAACCATTTTGGTAAGACCAACCGTTATTATTATTTTTAATCTTTTCCAAAAATAAATAAAATATATTTTGCATGGAATATGTTGTAAAAATGGAAATATATTGTATAAGGTTATTGACCGAATTAATTTTAAATATTTATTACCTACATTACTATCAATGTGACATAGTGATAAGAGAAGAAGAGTAAATGAACCTACAACTAAATGAAGATAAAACCTAAATAATTATAAGTCAGAAAATTGTTTGAATTTCTCTTCAACATTTTCCTTCGCATTTTCTTTCAGTTTTTTTTTTTTTTTTTTTTCTAACTTTCTATTTTCTATGATATGAAGGATTAAATTATTATAAGTATAAATTTATTTAGGAACAGGTAGGCATTTTTTTGCTCGTTTTTAGTATAGCTTTCTTGACTGAATTTGCCAGATAATTATCAAAAACTCATGTTAACGCAGTTGACTTTTGTATCCAACATTAGCAGAGGGTTCAGAGAACATTTTTATTACATAAGACTTAGGCTGTGGTCGGTGCGAGCTACTTTCCGATGATAAAACGAAATTCCAGAATCTGTTGATTGTTATTATTATTATTATGAAAATAAGATTTTTTTTATTTATTAAGATATAACTTATTTAAGAACTTATTTGACCCATTACACAACAACAAATATTTTGAGAATTCACCAAAAACGCCTAAAATATATTTAATGATTTATAATAAGTTACATTACTAATGTGGTAGAAACTGGCTTTTTATATTATTTATATTTTATTGAAAATCTTGGAAACCGGTATTTTTATTCTTGCCTAAACTTTAGGAATGTATGAGTTGACTATGTTGGACATATAAAACATAGAAATTTGAATTATCAAAACACCTTAAAAATAGAGGTTTTTGTCCCATACCACTGTGCTGCATTTGGAATCAGGTTTCGATAATTTTGAGAAGGTACTATCAAATTTTCAAATCGCCTGAAAAAATATTAACGCTTTTTGTTATGTTTTAAAGAGTATTAATTTTAATTAGTTTTAAGACAATAAAACGAGTTTTGAAGTATTTACGAGTGAAGATGAGAAGGGTACTTTCGATAAGATAATAGCAAAGTTACTACGGATACCATTCATCACACTCTCAATTTACTTTATTATTTAAGTTCCTTAAATCAGCGCTGAGTTATCTATAGAAACTATAGATGGAATTCAGTGCGTTCGTTGATTCATTAATGACACGGCAGATTCGTGGGCTTTTGGAAAGGTCACCATAACCTTCTTTAAAACAGAACATAGGTATTTCCTTCTATATTTTTATGAGGATCGTTAACCATTCAATGGAATCCATCAAGTCGTTTCTAAATTCAGAATAAATTGCTGTCAATCATGTTGAAATCCATCCATGGAATTCGTCCGGGGTAAAGGATCTCGTCAATAGCAGCAGAAAGTTTAAAAGTACCAAATTTTATGTCCATCAAAGTAAAATGAAAATTTTTTCTTTATAAATTTGTACGCATATAAAGGGCGTCTCAGTTCTTGATGGCTACACTCTGTGGGATCATTCTAGGAAAAGGAGTTAAGACCATTTTTTTGTTTTTCTTAAGGTGGTCACGTTTTTTATTCAATAAGAAAGAATTATTCAAAAATTGTTGAAGATAATTCAATTTTAAGGACACTATCGAAAAGTAGACAATTTTTTTTTTTTGAGAAAACTGATAGTTTGGCCATTGAGAATTGAGACACCCTGTACATAAGTTGGAAAAATAAAAACTTTACTCAAATTTTACACAACAAATTTATAGTATACAGAAAAACTTAAAAAGTCAATCTCATTCTTCGCAACTTCAACCCCCTTTCGATCTTCAGCTAATCATCCTAATATTTTTGAAATCAACTACCGTTTATTTGAAATGGTAGCAAATCCATTATTTCATTAAAAAATTTTCCTGCTACGAATTCCTTAACAATCCATGATTCCAGAGTATTTTTTTTTTCAGTTGAAATTTCATTTTGGTTTTGTATTAGTCAAATCTATTGTCATTGGTTTCAGCTGGATATCACAATTTCAACAATTTATTTTTTTTTTTTTTCATGCCAATAATTTTGAATCACAGAAGATCTAGAAGACTTAGTGAGGAGAAAAATTTGGGTGTCGATAATACATTTTTTTATTTCGATATCAATATAAATCGAAATAAAATTATCGGGCAAAATTATTTATACTTTTTATATTTACTTTCTACATCAATGTATGATCATCCGTTTTCACTTTGTATTCATTTTACTTTTTAATCATGTCTCAATATTATCTAATATTTAAATGTAATTTTTTTACATATGTACAACTAAATATAATTATAATTATTCATATTTTATTTTATTTCTTCCCTCTGTATACTTCTTAAGTAGTTCTGCAATGTGCGGTCTCTTATTTCTATATTTATATTTTACTTCTTTCATTTTTGTTTTTATTCGCATTGTAATCTTATCTATAATTTCTTAATTCTATTTTATATGTATATGTATACATTTATAAGTTATTATTTCATAGATATAGTGTATTTTTTTTCCTTGTATCCATCCATATCTTCAAATTCAGCAAATTGAGGTCAGCAAAATTCCCCAATACATACCCTTACCCTTATTTTCCAGTTCTAAGAGAAACTCCTAGCTGAACACACCTGTAAGT